ATCTACTACTTAATACTATATTTTTTTTATTCTCTCTACTTACATTTTTAATTACGAACGTTAATTGAAATCAGCATGGTCGTGTTAGTGATTTCATATGCGGAATTCATGTTAACTAGTTTGTTCTAGAAATAAAAATTAACAGACTAATGCATAACGCGGGGATGCGATTCTTCTGATTGGGATCACTAATCGAAGAAGAATAATCGATAATTCGATTTCGACGTTTTTAATTAAAAATCTTTAATTGAAAAAATATTAATTTTATTAAGTTCAGTTCTAGATTTTTAATTAGCGGATTTCGAATGGGTTTGATTGTTCACATTTTACTGTGATATTGTTTTTAAAGCTTGAAATTAAAAACGAATAAAATTTTATTAGATGCACTTCAGCTGCACAGATTAGTTATTTATCTTTTTCATGAAAAAAAAAACGATTTTTTATACTGTTTAGCATGGAGCAATCTGTATTAAAGTAAAAAAGATTATAAAATAAAAAAAAATGTTATCAATCATAAATTGTGATTCCATTATACTCAGCCCAAGATATTCGTAATAAGTATTTTATGAAAATATTATTATACTTCAGTGGGTCAAGAAGAAAATGTTAAAACCGTATTTTTTTTTAAGTAAATTCTAAAAACGTTAAATTTGTAAGTTTTTTTTTTCTGAAGTTTATTTTTTAATCCGTCCATTAAGTTCTTTTTTAATGTGGGTAGGATTCCAAATAATATGTGATCTGATTGAGTGTAAAAGAGTCCACTTTTAATTGTTATTTTTTTATTCATAAATTTATTCAACGTATTATAACTTCTTATAAACAACTTATTATAAATTCATTCAACTTTTTAAAGCGTAGAAGTAAAGTCCTTTGTATTGATTTTTTGTGTGTGTGTGATTTTTTTTTTGTATTATTTTTGACAATAATGAGAGCTTGTTGATACACTTTACTCGCATACCTAATTGGAGGTTTTTAATAATATTACCAAGAATTGGGAACTGAATAGATTGGTTCCAAGGGTAACCATGGAGTTTCTTCCTCGTTCTTCTTTTATTCTATGATCTAGAGGACTTTGGGCCTAACGATTCATAAGGAAGACTTTAATTAGTATTTATTATAATGTTTTTTGAAAATTTTATTTTATAAGTTGAATGAATTTATAATAAGTTGTTTATTATAAATTCATTCAACTTTTTAAAGCGTAGAAGTAAAGTCCTTTGTATTGATTTTTTGTGTGTGTGTGATTTTTTTTTTGTATTATTTTTGACAATAATGAGAGCTTGTTGATACACTTTACTCGCATACCTAATTGGAGGTTTTTAATAATATTACCAAGAATTGGGAACTGAATAGATTGGTTCCAAGGGTAACCATGGAGTTTCTTCCTCGTTCTTCTTTTATTCTATGATCTAGAGGACTTTGGGCCTAACGATTCATAAGGAAGACTTTAATAAGTATTTATTATAATGTTTTTTGAAAATTTTATTTTTGAATTCCTTGACTCTAAGACTGGATATACCAATTTTTCTAATTACTAGGAACCAAATTCATGACTTAAAAAAATAACAATTTTGGAGTATCATAATGAAGTCTGCTATTTTAACTACTTGTTATAATACCAAACTGTTTACTTTCTTTATTGATTCTATGTTTAGGTATCTTTTGTTATTGGACTAAGATTTCAAGCCTAAATAACTAACACCCCCCCAACCCACCTTTGTAAAGACAAACATAACTTTTTTTCTATGGTAACAATTAATTATGCAACTCAGAATTAGTCTAAGTTTTTTTAAGTTTTTAAATTACAAATATATATGTAGTTAAACCTACCTACATAGGTACACGCAACAGAATATCGTATTTTATTTTCTCTTGACATAAAAGTAACAGTATGTACCTATAACTTATTAAAACCACTCCACAAACAAGAAAAAACCTACTAAGTAGTATCGAAGAATAAAAAACAAAACTTTGTTGCCTAACAATTTCTTTTATATCTAAGTACTTAATAAATCAAGAACAACACAGACCCGTGTTCAGAAGACACGCTTGAAGGCAATTGATTTCACCACCTATCACTTGTAAAGTCCTTAAGTAGTAACCAATCGGGAGACTATTTGCTCAAAATTGTTCAAATTATAAACGCCGCGAGGACCCACTTGTGAGGGACTGAGGGACTAGAAAACTCCCACTACGGTAGGGGAGAGGAAAGCCGTTTAAAAGCGGACGTATTTAACTGTGTACTATGTGGGTTTAGGGATGACTCCCTTCTAGGACAACATTCCTATACAGAAATCTGCAATTTATTGGCTGTCTGTACCTATTTAATATTGTCAAGTTTTTTCCAATAGGTTTGTCGCCTATACAAAAAAAATTGGCAGTTGTAACATTGATTTCTTCTACATAAGAAATTAGTTCTAAAAAATAAATACCGTCCTGTATTTTTTTATAAAAAATGCTATAAAGAAAACTGCTTCAAAAAAATCAAGTCTTAAAATTTTATATTAAGGTCCTTTTTTATTTTTTATGTTGTACCTACGTCTTAATGATGAAGCATAGCGTTCTTATTTTTTATAATACCTTTTAACCTACGTATGGTTTACAAAAAAATATATCCTATCCTATTCTATTCAAACAATTGAGCTCTTCCATCATCATTGAGAACCATGTCATAAAAGGCGGTTAATATATTCCGTCCCCACTGAAGGGGTCTTTCTGTGTTGTTTACGTCATTACGTAAGTAAACTACTAGATCTAAATATCTAATAATGAATACTTCATGATTGTTTGCCCCTTTTTTGCAAATACACATCTAGCATCGCGATTTCCCCAATAAAATGAAAGTCAAATTCATAAATTGGGAACAATGAGACCCCACACGCAAGTATTCGGCATCGGCTTTCGCGGATATACAGCACACAGCTCGGCCCCTAATTTCCCGACGATAAAACGCTAACAAACATTGCTAAATAATCGTAAAATTTTTAACAAAAGTAGGCACTAGCTGGAGTGGTTCAAACATTTACTTATCTATGTTGATTGCATTGCTAATTGTACTGAAACAATATCCTTTTGTTACAAGAAAGACCTAGTTTTGGTCGCGGAACGCTAAATTATACAACTTTGCACTAACAATGGCCGGTTAGTATTTATATTTTCAACAAAAAAATATGTTTCTACAACTTGTTGGTAGTTTAGCGAACGTTTCTTAGTATTTCTAGACGTTGTTGTTATAAAATAATAGTTTCTTATTCAAATGTTAGAGTTGTTTTCGAGGAACATATAGTGGCGGAGGCGGTGGCGGGTTCTTGTATTAAATTGATTACAGCAACGTTGCAAATATGCAGTTCCTTATTCTTGCTTTCTTGGAATTAGGTAGCGAAGTATTTTGATCTATTTTTAATTCGTTTTGTGGCGCGGTGCGGGTATCGACGCCCGATATATCCGACGATATTTAATATTCTGACTCTGCATGGGTAAGTCAGGCCTTTTAGCTTAACAACTCGACTTGCATACGTATATGGTTACATTTACTCTAAAATTAAGTTGCCTCTGGATTTCGATGTTAACATTTCTGCAGTGTTGTCTAACCGTCTTCGTGTTTAATTGAATATTCAAAGGCAGTAGATCTGGGTTTATAATTTAGACTTATTGTTTATTCAGTATGCACTCTATAGTTTAGCAATAAAGTAAGAAAAATGTTGCAGCTCGGTAAATAACGAAGCGACTGTTATAAAAAGTATTGATTACAGTTATGATGACTTGAATATCTGCAATTCTAATCGGCCATCTTGCATCGAACGTACACTTTAAGATTGTAGTAGCGGTGCATCTAGTTTATATGCGGTAATATTTTATTGTGTTCCCGCTTTTTAATATACAAATAAATAACATTATTTATGTAAATAGAAAAAACTAGTAATCCAATTAATAATTCAGTCTTTATTTACAATTATTATAATAATAAGGAACTTTAACAGCTTCACGTAACATATCGCTTTAATTAAGTACTATGAGGTATAGGCAGAGTTCACAAATATACTGAAACACCAACTTTCCTTAAATACTTAGATAATTATATTTATAAAGAGGTCAGCCTGAAAACCTACTTTATTTTGAACCCGCACAGATCTCAACCCTATCTGGGAAGTAAAAAGGCCCTTAATATTTAAAGTTTGAAAATTCTCAACAATGGTATCTTTACAAGACAAGACATTTTTCTAAAATTAAGAAAACTTATCTTCTTCACATGTTTTGATTCTAAACTTTTCCAAACTGACACTTACAATTTTTTAAACGCACTTTTCTACGATCTTAGATCTCGTTTGAGACATAAAACTACACCAGCGCCACCTTCCAAGAAAGTGCATACGCGATTTTTAAATTTCGAATTTAAATTCTATTCTGGAAAAGACCTTGAATTTGAATTGTATTAAGAACGCTCTTATTGTTGGGAATAATTTAAATTGTGGTCTTACTTTTAATTAATGACTAACGTTAAAATATTTAAAACAGTTCCGATTTTAAAATAATCTTATCAAAATTACTTAGGTACAAATAAATTAAAAAGTGGTTAATATTTTTTACAAAACTTAAAATTGCAGTTTTCTAATTAGAACAATATTTTTTAAAGCCGAAATGCTTTTGCTGTCCATAATAAAATAAGCAGACTGAACTAAAGTAACATAGTTTAAAAACAACACTTAATATTTTTTTTTGTAAACATCTTTCTAACTTTTAGGCAACTTTTTAAAACAACACTGTTAGTCACTTAGCGGTGCGCGGAAATATAGAATCGTATTGACAATGATTATTGAGACCACGGCTAATTCAAAGTTTGCAACTTATTAAAAGTTGCAAATATTTGTGCAGCTGCATTTGTAATGTTATCCACATTGTCGGGCCCTGCATCGAGCCGACAAAGTAAGGAACACTATTTTAACTTTCACATTAGCATTAATAATGTAGTCAAGTGAAATATAAATTAATGATGTAATGCGCTAGTGTATGGAAAGTTTGCGAGCGGGGAGGCGAGGGCGCGCGGGGCAGCCCTCCCGGTCGGCGGGAAAAGTTTTGAAGTAAGTTAGCAGCGGGAGGCGCGGACTTACCCTCTCCTCCTCGCGGATCATCTCGGCGATGCCGGGCCGGATGTCGACGTCCTCGGGGTGCAGCGGCGGCATGACGGGGGTGGCGAGGACGGGCTCGGCCGGCGGCAGCAGGTCGGCGGCGGGCGTGGGGCTGGGGGTCGGCTGCTGCGCGCGGCTGGAGCCGCCGCTGGCGCGGTCCTCGGACATGCGGCGCCGTGCCTTGGGCGGCGAGTCCGCCTCGCGGCTGCGGTCCGGCCGCTTGGCGCTGCGCCCGCCCGGCTGCACCACCGCGTGCTCGCCGCTCACGTCCGTCAGTCCGCGGATCTTCAGCGACTCCGCCACCTTCAGCAGCGCCGGGATCTGTTCCTGGGACACGTTGATCTCGCCCCGGTACATGAAGTCCACGGCAGCCTTCAGGTCGCAGTATTTGGTATCACGCATTATTATAATCGGGTGCTGGCAGGGGTTGTCCATGAACAAGGACTGGAAGTAGGGGCTGCATGCCGACAGAACCACTTTGTGCGCTTTCAAACTTTGTCCATCGCAAGATAGAGTCACATCCACGAAAGATTGAGTTTGCAAAAGTTGGTCAAAGCTGCTGGTCAAGTTGCTCTGGTAGTTGTTCCACCGCAGGCAGAACTGCTGCGGGGAATCGCTTGGCTCCCGACACTCCATCGCCGCGGGGTCTTCCTCGGCCGGCATCACTTCAACGACAACGGGATCGCATCTGCAGCGGAAAGCGCGAGTTAGACACACTACGCATGCAACACAGACGACGGACCGCGAGGCACTGAGCGGCGACTCTCGGAGCGGAGCGGCGAGGCGCGGGGCGGGCGGCGCGCGTGGGCGGGGCCGCCGCGGCTCTCGGCCAATGGGCTGGGCGCGTCGGCCGCCTCCCGGCGCCACGCCCCGCGCCCGCCAGCCCGCGCCCCGCGCCCCCGCGCTGCCCGCCGGCCGGCGCCCGCGCAGCCCGCGCACACAACCATACTGTTCGATGTTCGCGTTACATTTGCCGATAAATTACAATTAAATGGCAACGCAATACTAACTCTAGTAAGTAGTGCAATAAATACGACTTTTTCTAAATTGTTAATTCTATCATTAGATGAGTGCCGTACGCAAGTAAAAGTCGTTGATGAATAAAAAAACGTAAATTAATTAGAATCGAATACAATTAACGCGATATTGGCTGAGCACGACCGCGAATAGAAACTGCGATGTAAACAGAAACATGATTTATTTATTATTTGAAGAGTTAGCCGGTACCTAACAGATTGCTTTGGATTTTTTCTAGTAATAAATCATTATTGTAGAATTTAATTAATTAATTAACGTCTATAGTTGTAGGTAACGTCCATGATACGTAGGTAGGCAGGTGGCTGTATGCAGCTACTAGCTTGCACAATACCTGCATAATGCCTGCTATTACTCGCATTGTCAAATTAATACCTAGATATGAAGCAGGTAATTATACACACCAAGTATAGGTACACCAAGGCAGCTATACAAGCTATAGGTACACTTAAAAAAATAATATCATAGGAATTACATATAAGTACCAGGTACATACATACCTACATACTTAGCTACCTATAGGTATCTTGTTTATAAACTGTATTGTGTTTCTTTTATTTTTATGTTAGTATGCAAGTACCTACTTCATACCTTTATCATATATTAAGCAAGTGTGGGAGAGCCATGCTTCGGCACGAATGAGTCGGCCGACCGGAGTGATACCACGGTCTCACAGAATACCGGCGTGAAACAACCACAGCGTTGTGTTTCGCCATGTAAATGACATAACCGGAGACCCAATCGCTCCCCTCCCCCCAACCCTTACCAATCCTTAAATATCCGAAACCCTTAAAGGTTGGTAACGCACTTGTTACTCCTTTGGTGTTGTGGGTGTCCAAAGGCTTGCTGTGTTTGCTTAACATCAGGTAGGTAAATCGTCTGCTCATTTGGCGAACTATACTAACCGAACATAAAAAAAGAAAATTATAAGTAGATGAGCTAATACTTATAGAAAAAGTGTAACTTATAAGTCGAAATATCTATTAATAAAAATGTTAGAGTCATCTTTTCCCTCTGTTAGGGATAAATACAATACCGCCAAAGTATCTTGGCGAGTCTGAAGTTAGCTGATTAGCTGCGCAGTACACAATTTTGTTCCTAAACGATCCATTGCGCAGACAAACGGCTAACTTCAGACTCGCCAAGATACGTCGGCCGTACTTACTGTAGTAAAGACTTAAACCTGGACTTAATATTAACTTTTTTTAGGGGGAAAAATCAACCAATGGCTTCTCTCGAGCAGGAAGAGGAGGGAGGGAGTCTCAGACTCTTACTGACTAAAAACTCCCTCGTTCCTTTTCCAGCTACAGGGTTGGAGCCGCGGTTCCTCACTGCGCTTGCCCATCAACTTCGGCTGATTAAAAAGTAGGTAAAGGTAAGTTTGACATCGACCTTGAGCAAGTGTGGTGATTAATAAACTATTTCCATGTTATAAGAGTAGAGACTTATAGGCTGATGATGATGATGGTGATGATGATGATGATGATTATGACCAAATTCAAAATGTAATCAAGTAATTTTTTTGTCATTGGATTTTAGAGTTTGTTAAAACAACTGTAGGTAGATAAGCACAAATCAGTAGGTAGGTTTTTCTATAAGATAAATGATGATTCAGAAGATGGTGCCAAACGAACAAATGCATTACCTGATGGTAAGCAATCGGCGCCGCCCATTCTCAATACTAGTAATAGTAGTTGATGAGGCTTGTGGATGTGGTTGACAGCCATGGCAGGGCAAAGTAGAGAAGAATTGGCCTCCAGCAACCTCACTCACATGGCGAAACAAAACGCTGTGGTTGCTTCACGCCTGTTCTCTGTGAGGCCGTGGTATCACTCCGGTCAAACCGATCTATGTATTCGTGCCTATGGCTTTCTCACGTGTCTTAAGATATTGTCAAGTAGAAAGAAAAGTTGATTTGGTTCAGTTAATATGCAATTTTGAAACTAAATGTCTAAACCAGCTCACACAGTTTTGCAATAAGGTACCACAGCCTCGGCCTGTAGCAGGTGAGGTAACGGGGGGGTTTAGTCAGTAAGAGTCTGACACTCGCCATACCCATTCATAGAGAATTGATAATTTCCTTCTTCAGAAAAGAAGTTCTCGCTGTTTTATGATAAAATTACTCATTATTAGGTAATCTATACCTACTTCTATAGGTATTGCTCAGTGAAAATCTTATTTAACCAACAATTCTGTAATATTCATAATTTTCTTATTTTCTGTGGCATGGAATACTTTTTCCCTCAAAGTGTCACTAGCTAATCGAATGCATTTTCAAACTTTTAGCGTCTCAGTAACAGGATGATCACGTTTTTACATTTAATTGGCGTCAAAGCTGCAGTTTGTTTTAACATTATTATTCTTCCATTAGTCTTTAGAATGTATTTATATATGTATATATAATTAGAAAGTTCAGAAAAATTATACTCATTTCAAAGTCTTAGTAGTAATCACATCCAGACACGGAACACAAATTTGTGAAAAAGTCATAGACATTTTTCGTAACGGAATGAAACCCGCGTCACGTTGCACGGCAGCTGTTTGCCTCAAACGCATCAACCGTGCAATCATGATGTGTTGATACCAATTAAATTGTATAATATATTAACTTAAACTTTCAATCGTGATAATTCGAAACACAATGGAAGAACAATAAGTGCCCGAACGCCGGCGTTCGCTTGGGGTTATATGAATTGAGCTGGCTATAACACTCGGTGAACACATTTTAAATCTAGTTTTTAATAAATTCAGAGTCAACGGTTTATAAAAACGCCATCGAACCCTTTCATGGGTGAAGTCTAGTTAAGAAGTTAAGGCGCCTGCCTCTCATGCACGTATGCTACCCCTCTTTAGTTCGAAACCTAAGTGCCAATGTCATTGTTTCCAAGCTATATATATTTTCTAAGTGCATTACACTAAAATGCGGTGGCAAAGACATCACTAAATGTATGTTTGAAAAATAATACCTAATTAAAGTGTGGGAGAGCCATGCTTCGGCACGAATGGGTCAGCTCGTCCGGAGTGATACCACGGCCTCACAGAAAACCGGCGTGAAACAACCACAGCATTGTGTTTCGCCGTGTGTGTGAGGTTACCGGAGACCCAATCCCTCCCCAATCCCTCCTCAATCCCTAAATCTCCAAATACCTAATCCCTAAATGGTCGGCAACGCACTCGTAACTCCTCCGTTGCGAGTGTCCATGGGCGGCGCTGATTGCTTACCATCAGGTAATCCGTTTGCTCGTTTGGCCGATTTGAAAAAATGTTTGAATTAATCTAATTGTCATTCCTTATCTTAGAAGAATTATCATTGCATGATGATGAAGTCTATCAATCTGTTTTAAGTTAAAGCTCTGATATGATAAATATTGCCACATTCGAAAAAAAAAATACAGAAGTCTGTCGCGAAACGACCAAAGCATTGTGCTTCGCTGTACGCCGGAATCCTTATAAGGGCCGGCAACGCACTTTAAGTGTGGGAGAGCCAAGCTTCGGCACGAATGGGTCGGCTCGTCCGGAGTGATACCACGGCCTCACAGAAAACCGGCGTGAAACAACTACAGCGTTGCGTTTCGCCGTGTGTGTGAGGTTACCGGAGGCCCAATCCCTCCCCTTCCCCTACCCCTTCCCAATTCTTATATCCGCAACCCCTATCCCCAAAAGGCCGGCAACGCACTCGTAACTCCTTTGGTGTTGCGGGTGTCCATGGGCGGCGCCGATTGCTTACCATCAGGTAATGCGTATACTCGTTTGCCGACTTATCCCATAAAAAAAACTTGCAGTCCTTTAGCGATACGAGTGTCCACGGGTGGACCCGATTGCTTGCTGTCAGATAATCCTTAGTTGCCAACCTTTCATACAATATAAAAGGAAAGATATTGCAGTACTGTCGCTATCAATCTAAGACAAGCTATTACTAGCTCGCCTGGGTTAAGGTCTAGGCCAGTCTCAAGAGTGTCTGCGATGCAGAGCCCAGTCTTATTGTCCATTATTCAATTTATATTTTCCTGTTCGAATTCAAGGCAATTATAGTTAAAACAAGCATTGGAGGGTAGACACTAATATCTGGAAAATGGTTCCTAGCTATACCATTTCATATTATAACAATATTTATCTTCGTTGTTAAAGTTTTTTAGAGTAGGTAGAAGAATTAAAAACAGTGTAGAATTGTTTTCTCATTCTATGCAGCTATCGTATTTCTCATGACTTGAAAAAATAAAAGCAGTTTGAAGTTTAGTGCTGTTATTGTTTAGCCGCCTAGATTAAACCGGGGGCTAGTTGTCGACTCCGAAGTGGGCGTCTTAGTTTTCTCGAGCGATTATTTTCTTATTAACTTGGGTAACAGATAAATCGCTAGCCCTTAAAAAACAAGTTACGATTGGATTGGCTTTATTTTTGTTGTTATTATTTTCTTCTATAACTAGGTATATAAGAAAACATTTTCATACTCAGACGTCGTATTAATAACCATAGTTCATGGAAAACCATATTCTAACACTACATGGCTAGTACGGCCAAATCTTACAAGCGTAGCGAGTAATCGTAGCGCGTAGCGCATAGCGCGTAGCAGCGTTTTTCTGCTATCATTATTTACATTCAAATCGTAGAATGAATGCATAAATGTACACCTCTCACACATAAATAGAAAAGCGATATGTAGTACGTTAATACGTTATACGGGTCACGCTAGCGGAGGAGCCCTCAATTGTAATCCGTTGGCAATCATTAACTTAAATAGATTTTTAAATAAGTACCAAGTACCTAAACGATTGTTTGATGGAAGACTAAGGTTTATAAGTTTGACTAACTTCTCATAATTATTATATACAAATCGAATCTAACTCCAGTATCAGTGACTCTCTTTCTCTATTTATAAAAATAATAATTCATTCAACAGATTCTAGTGTCCTTTCCTCGCCCTGTCTAGTATTGACAAAGAAACTGTATGTCGCACCATGCATTGTTTACAACATTATATTACCGCAGGAAAATGTACCCTATAACCACGTATTTACGGTGTATTCACACTTCCTCTCGATTACGTCACATAATATGGTGAGAAAGTTCGATAGCAACTGCATTGAAAAATCTTTTTCAGTTCAAAATCTTTGGTAATCCGAATTCTTAACCATTTATTATTATTTATTTATTTATTATTGCTTAGAAGGTACATTTTACATTATAAAAAGTATAAAATGTCCAACAAAACTGTATACACAGTTTGTCTGTTGGATCAGATTTGGTCTTATGAACTTTCGGCAAGAAACTTAGAACAATATATATGTACATTTTGGATTAGGATTAAATAGGGATGAAAGGTAACGCTCCGGCTATGATGGCGTGGACCTTAAGACTAAGGGTCAATTCACACCGTGATGCGACACAGCGTGCTATAACGATAGTATAGGGGAAGCATCTGCTAAACACACCGCATGAAATTTAGATCATATAGTTTGCAGCATAAAGTTGTTTTTTGAATAGACCTTTTAAAGCATTCACGCACCTCTGTCGCGTCTCGAAAAACTTAATCGTAATTACTGAGATGTTGTGGGTGACCATCACATCATCACACCATCGGCCTATAACTGTCCACTGCTGACCAAACGCCTCTTCTTGGCTGGAGAAGGTCTGAGCATTAACCATGCTTGCTCAAGGCAGATTAGCCATTTTAAACTTATAATTAGAAATTGTATGTCCAGGTTTCCTCACAATGTTTTCCTTCGCCTTATGGCAGTTGTATCTTAATAATCTTAGAAAGTGCAACTCAGAAAAAGTCACATTGGTACTTGCCAGGTTCCAACCCCGCTACCTCATGGATGATAAGGGCGTCTCCGGGCCACCACGGGAGTAGGTGTCCATGGGTGGCGCTGATTACTTCCCATCAGGTAAACCGACTGTTCGTTTGCCGACGAATCACATATAAAAACTGAACTTGTGTTTCCGTAGGTTACGTGTCTGTGACAGGTTCGTGTTTTTGAACCTTTTACAAAAGCTCGTCACTAGCCATCAAACCAACCACAAACAAACCGTGCGAAGGAATAAAAACTACATTGAACACTTTTCTTTGTACCTACGCATCATTGAGTCGTGGGGGTTTAGGGATTCAGAGATTTTGAGATTGGGGATTTTGTAGCTATAAAGAAGGATTGTCTCTTGGGTCACCTCACTCACATAGCGAAATACAACGCTGTAGTTGTTTTATGCCAGTTGAATAGTCAGACAGACTTATTAGATTTAAACTTTCATACACATCATCCCTATTATTGGTGATTTACAGAAAATCAAGATTTTAGCTCAGAATCTAAACACATAATATAGTTATAAATTTAACACTTAATATCATATAGCTGGTCAAACTTCTACCAATCTGTGCGGGGTTTAAAAACGCGTTAGTGTACTAAATTCAAATCAATAGGTTTCTAGTTGCTAGCTATTTTCGTTTCTATTTCGTAGAACATTGAAAAAGCGGGCAATTTTTCACTCCCCTTTTCCACCCCTCTCGAAGTATTTTGGTATTTGACGTGCTTATACAGAGAAAAAAGTAAAAGGATAACAATATTCGAAAAAAGAATCAAATATTTGAATTCCTTTGCAATATTCGTATGCCGACAACTATATTCTTTTTTGTTTCGAATTTTAAAATCAACGGTTGCAACGGTTTTTGCGAACACCAACAGAAACATATTTTTTGATTGATACAATATATTTCAAAAGGAATTTGTCGAATAGTATCTACGTCAGACACACCATCAATATACATATGTAGATATATTTAGGTACCCATGTAAATACAGGAAGCATTCAATATTTCATTCGAATATTTTATAGGTTTTTGGTTTTGTAAAAAAAGATTTTATAGTAAACTAACTGATCGGCTATGGACACCCGAACACTAGACCAATTAATAGCGTTGCTAGCAGTTTAGGATTACGGCTCTGGTAACATCATGCGTACTCTGAAAACAAGACAAGCTTGGTTTTTAGTCAGATGCCAGTGTAAACACAATAATTTACTTAGTTCCCAGCTCTTAGCAGGAGAAGGAGAAGGATGGTTTTTAGTCAGTAAGAGACACTCCCTTTCATCACACCAAGGGTGTCAGAAGTCATTGGATGATTTCCTCCCACAAACAAAAGCGTTTTATCACGGCTGCTTATTAGTGCCGCGGCTCAACTAGCAGCTTCATAAAATACAAGCTATACTCGCGCGGTTTCACGCTCTGTTCGGCTCCATTTAATAGTAGCGTGATGTTTTATAGCCTATAGCACTCAGGAACATTGTAGCTATCGGTGAAAGAATTTTGGCAATCTGACCGGTTCCAAAGATTACATATACAAAGTTACAAGTTTTACCTCTTTATAATATTAGTTTATACAAGCTCTGCCCTATAGTTTCATCCGCGTAGTTTAACCGTATGTTTGCTTTTCAAATCGGTAATTGTGATAGTGTTTTCGAAGTTCAATAAAAATACAAAGAAAGAAAAAAATATTTCCTCTTCATAACGTAGAAAATTGCCAAGATATGTGTCTGATGATTATCTCATTAACTAAATACAGCTTCCGAAAATAGTGTAAAATTTCTTACAACCTAATAGTTAATTACGCACGGTACTTGGCGGTAATTGATTTTGATTTTTGAGTTTGATTTGGCTCAGTGTCTGGGAAACTGGCTACTGTGCTACGTATCGCGGGTTTGATTCCTGCATGAAACAACACTTTATGTGATTCACAAATTGTTATTTCGGGTCTGGGTGGTTAGCGTATGTGAATTTAATGTTTCTAAACATTCCCACGACAAAGGATTTTGACTGCACGGTTGGTGCGGTGGCTGGGAAACTGGCTGCCGTGCAACGTGTCGTGGGTTCGATTCCCGCACGGAACAACACTTTGTGTGCTCCACAAATTGTTGTTTCGGGTCTGGGTGTCATGTGTATGTGACATTGTATGTTTGTAAACGCACCCACAACACAGAAGAAAATCCTAAATCCTAAAGTGGGGCAACGTTTTTTCAAAAGAAGAAAAAAAAGGATAAAGTCATAATGTCGAACAATTTTTTATTATATTTCAAATCTACACGAGTGATGAAACACAAATCATTAGATTATCTAGTTCGTCTATCATTTATTTTAAATCCCATTTGTCTAGAAAGACATATCAGAAAAAGCCTCTAACTGATCTGTTGAGTAGACAGAAGAAAGATTTCATTAAAAGATACCTTTCATTTTCTTAGACTGATGACAATTCTAGGTGACTAGGGAAAGAATTTATCTTTTCTAGCATCTAAGATGTGTAGGTACCTACAGTTTCTTTAGTGTCTAGGTCATTTTTATTAGGTTAGGTTATACCTATATACTTTTTTTATGTTAAGTATATGTCGGCAAACGAGCAGACGGATTACCTGATGGTAATCAATCAGCGCCGCCCATGGACACCCGCAACGGAGGAGTTACGAGTGCGTTGCCGACCTTTTAGGGATTAGGGATTTGGAGATTTAGGAACTGGGGAGGAATTGGGGAGGGGAAGGATTGGGCCTCCGCTAACTTCACTCACACTGCGAAACACAACACTGTGGTCGTTTCACGCCGGTTTTCTGTGAGGAGTGATAACTCCGGTCGAGCCGACCCATTCGTGCCGAAGCATGGCTCTCCCACGCTCAAAAAATATAGGTTTAGGTGCTGGTAGAGTGGGTAGCTTGAAGAGAACCTATAAGTCAATAGGTGGAAGGATATCAGGAGTGGGGAGGGTGTCTGAACATTGGATACTTGGATTAAATTTTTCGGTTTCCAGGTCTGGGTGTGATGTGTATGTATTGTTTAAATACGCACCAAAGACCGGAAAATACTTGAAATTTTTTCGACTTTCTTTATACTTATAAATTATTAGTCAAGGTTTCCTTGTGATGTTCTCCTTCATCGTTTGTCAGTGGTGTTTAGATAGTAGTTACACTGAGAAAACACATAGAATTTGAAAGAAGAGAGAACCCACAGTCTAAT